CCGTGATAATCATTTCCGAATTTTCACTTCGTAACACACGTAAATCATTTCCGATTTATATGTTCGTTTCCCGTGATTCATATTTACTATTTTACACTAGTATATTACCACTATGTAGATCACAATGAATTAAATCTTTATCATGTATACGATATAATGAATTACATAAATAGTCAAGAATTGTAATTCTGTCTTTTAAAGTTAATTTTGAATGATTTTTTTGTAAATAATCTCTTAAATTTCCTTCTGGCCTATAACTTAGTACCATTGCATAATTTCCATTATCTGGGAATTTAGTTATACCATAGCAACTAACAATCATTATTGATTTAATTTTACAATAATTCAATGCCTGAAAATATAGATAAACTCAATTAATCTAATATTATGCTATAATATACAAATTATTTATTTGTGTTTTAAATGAAATTACTACTGACTTCATCAAAAAATTTATTTCCAATGTTATTTGAATTATTTAAACATTTTAAAACTACTCCATGAGGTCCAAAAAAACTAAATTCTTTTTTATCTTCATCATAATCATTTATATATCCTCTTGTCCATATTGCCACATGAATACTACCAAATCCTCCTTTAGTTAAATATTCAATATCTTCAAATTGATCAAATGGGATCCATTCCATTATATTTCTTGGAAGAGCTGAGAGTTTTTGGCATTGTTGAATAAAATAATCAACAATTTTGTTTTCTGAAGTCCAAGTATTAAAAAGGTTTTGTAGGTGTAAGCTAATGCAGTTTTCACAAAATCTAGTAGAGTATTTTGTTGCATTACATCTTTTACAATTGTGTGGTTCACCATTTTTGTGCATTGCATACTTTAATTCTTCTTCATAAATATATCTTTCCTTGCAATATTCTTTTTCATTTTTTAAAAGTTCTTTGTTTTCACTTACTAATGATAAAAATATTCCCCTTTTAGTCTCTTCAAAAGAAGTAATTGATGAATCATTGTTATAAGTATCATTTGCAATTGATATTGCATTATTAACTATTACATTATAAATTTTATTTACAAAGTTTTTTCTGTCATATGATAATAATTTATTATATGACATTTTATTAAAAAAATTTATTTTTTTTCAAAATAGTGTTTTCAAAACAACAACTTTTAAATTTGGATTTGGTGCCAGTTTTAACTAATTTTAGCCAAATGTCCAATCGGACACAATAATATGTTCAAATATTGGTCAGTGCCATTTTATATAAAGTCCCAAATAGTTATTTCATAATTTCAATGTTTGAATTAATTTATTTAGAAAGACGTTTATAACGGATAAATTTTATTATCTATATAATAAATAAAATTGTTTTTTAAATCGTTCGTTCATTATATTCTTTTTGATCCATTTATTTACTTATCATCGTTATAATTATAATCGATGTGATGACGACATAGTGAATTAAAAAAACTTTTTTTTGATATCATTTACCATTATTGATATGATTCTCGTGATGGCAACATATTTGGCAAAAAACATTTCAACCAAAAAAAAATACTTTTATAATTATTATATTTTTTTGAAACATGTATTTTGACGCAGAAATTTTTAATTTATGTAATTTTGCTAATACTAATACTGACTCATGCTTTCTTTCTAATTCAAAAGCTTGCTTCTAAATAATTCCATTATTTTATATTAGCTATTTTATTCCTTCCTTGATATTGAAAAAGATTTTTTATAGAAATGATGTAGATTTGACGAATGAAATAGATGGATGGATTGATTGAGTGATTTAAGCCAAATATGATTTTAATAATTTTAGTCGTGGTAGTAGTAGCAGTAGTAATTATTTTATTTATTTATTAATTAATTCATATATTTTTTGAATTATAAAAATATGATGAATTCATAATTTCAAAATAATTGAATGATATTCTTCTATTAACGAGTTAAAAGTTTCTCCTAAATGTTGTTTTCTTTCATCTACAGTAAACTGTCTCAATGATTCCTATGTAAATATCATAATTTATAGTTATTAGATATATAATAATTTTTTGAAAATAATTTATTTTTTAAAAGAATACCGCATTCCAATGATATAGCCGTTCCTTTACTTGTAATCTATACGCTTTATATTCTTCAACGTTTGTCTTGTCTAAACTTCTTAATAAAAGAATTTCTAAACAACGTGAAAATTGTCGCTTCAAATGTTTTTTAAAGGAAAAATTAATATGATAAATTAATTAATCAATTAGCAAACACATATATATATATACAATAAAAATTACTATAGTTTACTTTTTCAAATTTATATTTTTTTCTTAACGATTCAATTAATTTTTTATCAACAGGAGCTTTTAATCCTTCAAATAATTTATTTTCCATAATGAATGCTAAATCTTTACGATCTCGCAATTCTTGAAATGCTTCATTTGGATCTTCGACTGGAAATATAAAAAAATCAAAACATTATGTTGTAAAATAAATAACAATAATAATGTATTTTTAATATGTTATAAACTAATTACCTGTTATTTCTTTGATTCTAGAATCTGCCAAATAATTATTATATAATGCTTGATAAAGTTTACCTTTTGATCAGATTATGTAAACAAAGAATAATTAGAATTAGAAAAATTTTTTCATATAATAAATAAATAATAATAAATCAAATCTCTTTATAATACGCAAAAAAATTTTACCTCCATGACCTTTATTTCGAAAAGGTGGAAAAACTACATATTGACTACACAAATTATATTACATCAATATATTATCATAATAATAGTAATAGTATGTTATTATATAAAAACAATCTACCTTATTCTCATCCTTATACTAGTTATTGGATTTATGTCTTCGTTTATGAGTAATATTGATTTCTCATTATTCATATTACTTTTAGTTCCATTAATAATCTTCTCAAGATCATAAAAATAATAAGGATATGCTGTACAAAATCCGACTATACTATAAATATTCTCTCCGCCTGCAACTTTTTTTTGAAATCTTAAAATAAAAACAAATTAATATTAATATATATATATATACTGTGGGAGAAAGAGGAAAGACAATTGAAGAAAAAAAATCAATTTACATGAATGAAATCTGCCATCTTTCATCCTCTTCTATAAAGCAAGCACCTTCAATATAATATAATACAAATGTTCGTAGTCGTCTATGGTATTGTTTAAGACCTGGTGTCAAAAATGTTCCCTATATAGATTATAAATTTAAAAAAATTATTATTTTAATAAATATTACATAAAGATTAGAGATTATATAGATGTATAGATAGATAGATAGATAGACATGTATATAATCAACAACCATGTATATTTCATATGATGTATCGTCTTCATCATCTATATTATATTCACAAATTTTTTCTCCAATTGGTTTAAAACTATATGCATCTGATTGAACAGTTTGTATAAAAACATCATAATTTGTAATAAAATCTATAATTTTTTTTTATAAAAAAATATTAATTAATGAGCATAATTTTTTTTAAAAAAAAAAATTGTCTTGTCAATTTTTTCAATTATTAATTTTTTTACCGTCAGGGATATACTTTTTAATGTTTTCTATAAATTCGTCAGCAATTGATTTAGATCCAACACCTTGTATTTGTTTATCATAAGAAACATCAAAATATGTGGCAAGACTACCAGATGCATAATACATCTATTTGTAATTATAACAACAAGAATATATATATAATTTAGATATAATTTCTCTTTTTCTCACTTCTTATTAAATAAAGAAATAAAAACCTTTATGGCCAAATTTTTGTAACCATATATCTGTTCTTTTTCACCAAATATTGGGTATGTAAATTCAGGAGAAAATTCATCATAATAAACAGTATCCAACTCATTATCATTATCATTATCATTATTAACATAATCATCATTTGACAATGAAGGTCTTACTAAAAAAGAAAATTATTATTAATAATATTAATAACAAATAGTAGGAGAGTAAGAGGGAGAGTATAACAATCGATGATAACAATAATAAGTAAAATAGATGCAAAAGTTGTGAGTATGTACATACATATATATATATATATATATATATATATTTTCATGAATGCTTTAAGAAAAGAACCTACCAAACCTTAGTTTGAGTGCTTTGTTTGAACTGCAAATCCATTTTTTATCGCGTAAGTCATCCAAATCAGTCATTTTATTTTTTTATTTGAAATGATTGATGTTTAAACGCGAGCGATTTGATCAACGTATAAACGGGGCATACTGCAACAAAACCAGACAAAGTAAACATTGGTATTACAAGAATTTCAGGGATCATAATTTACTATGGAACCCCAATAATTATAGTACTATCAGAAGTATTTTAAAAAAGGAACAAGGTGAGAAAATTACTCCCTATATTTTCAAATATCAGTACTGATTTTTTATTATCATTGGAATTATTATCAATAAGATATCAAAAGCCAGAATATTAACTTTCATCTAAAGGAACATAACTATCATTCTCTTTGATGGTTGAAATGAATTTCAATTTATATAAAAGAAATATTCTTTAAATTACTTTCTTATTTTCAATCAAGATCATCCCTTAATCTCTTTAATCTCAATATGAGCAACTTGCTGTTGGAAAGTTAATTGTTCTAACTGTGTTTTTAATTTTTTAATTTCTTCCTTATAGTTACCATTCTCTTCTTCTAACTCTTTTATCTTATCTAATGATTCTTGTTTTTGTCTATTACTTCATTCATTGGATTTTTCTTGGAATTTTTTGGCCACTTCCTCTCTTTCAATTTTAACTCTTCTTTAGTAGAAGATAACCCTCTGGTTTTGTTTTCTAGGCAAGAACTGAAAGCTTGTGAATGTAGTTCATCATCGGATAGTGGTTTAGCTTTTAAATAACTACAAAAGCATCTGTTTCTGTTTTCCACATCAATTTCTAGACTTTCTATTCTGTTTTCTGTTCTACTATTGCTTCCATTTGTTCAATCTTACTTTCAATAATATCCTTAATAATGAAGACTTTTGCAGGTTTATCTCTAAAGTTTTCTCTGCTTCTTATTTGACCAATAATAGTGGTCTGCACTTTTATGTTCTCAATTCCTTTTATTTTTAGATTCATAGTAATTGTAAGCAATTTCTTTAATGACTTTCTCTTGGTTTTTGCTATGATTTTGAATATATTTCCTATACAAACTATCTTGAAAACAAACATACATAAACTGATTCCTTAATGGCTTACTAATCAATTCCCTTAAATTTTGTTCAATATTCTTACTACAGTGAGAGAATCTCTTCCTCATGTCTACCAATATTTGGTGGATTCTTTTCATTGCTTCTTGTTTAAAATCTGCTTCTTCTTGTTCACTTACTCGGAAGTCTTTTAACTCTTCTTTTAAAGTTTCATTCTTATTGCTAATTCACTGCTTTTCCTTGAGTATTGCTTCTTTTTCTTGTTGAAGTTGGTCAATTGCTTGTTGCTTGACAGTCAATTCTTCTTCTTTTCGGATTTGATTGTATTAATTTCTTGCTTTCTATCTTCCAACAAATCATGTAATAATTCATTTTCTTCAATTAGTTCTTTATTTACTTGTTGTTGTTCATTTAGGATATTTATCATGATTCTTTTTTATTTATTCCTTTAATATACCTATGTCCTTTTATGAGGGGATATTAAGTATATAAATTATTTTAGTACTTTTTTTACTTTAAAAAATAGAATATGCATTGAAAGATTAAACATAATGACAAATTAATGAGTGATAAGTGATTTTATTCTATTCATTTCTGGTATAGAATGGTCTTGGGCAAGCAATATCTTTGTATTCATTTCTAACAAATGGGCAAATATTATTATAAAGGTATTCTTGCCTTTTATAATCCAAAGGAGGTGATGTTAACACTAAAATTTTAATTTCTTCAGAATATCTCCTTTCTTGGCTTTCAATAAATTGAATTCAGCAAAAGTTCCATTGGCAACCTCCTGACCTCCTGAACTTTGACAACACCAAGATTAGATGCTTCATAAAGAAAATGTTGATATTTCTGGATGCTTGATAGTTTCTTAAATAAAACTACCATCACATTTAAATTTGGTATGTCCTGGAACCATGAAATTCCTTTGTAATAACCACAAATTACCAAATATAAATAAAACTAAATTGTTACATTATTTTTATTTTGGTCACCTGCATTATCACAAGTAATCTTTAAATGCTTTTCACCTTTATTCAATTCCTTTATTCTATCAAAAATCATACAAAGAGTTCCATTAGGAACTTTTCCTATAATTTCATCTTCATCAAGAACATAATTAATTTGTTTTCCTTAGTGCTTCATCTTGGATACCAAATAAATGGACTTTACATGTACTAGGATAATAAATTTTACTTGCCTGTTGATCTGAATGAGGTACATGAACATTTTGGGCTCAATCATAACTATAATGAGCATTAGCATCAATACTGCAATATTGTGTTTTACCCTTTGAATAACTGATTTTCTTTGTTCTTCAGCTAATTTGGCATTTTTATTATGATAATTTCTTTCTAATCTTGCCTTGGACAGATGTTCTTTAAATCTTTTGAGCAAATCTTCCTCTTGGCGAGCATTATAATGTAAACCATTTCAAAAATGTTAACAAGTATCACACAAGTCAGTCCTTGGACTCATAATTTGAATTTCTGGTGTCAATTGAGCCTTTGATTGTGAAAAGAGATTCCCAAATCATACTTTCAATTCCTGTAAAGAAAAACAATAGCGAGAGAAGCAGTGTAGATTTGAAAACATAAGGATTATCAAAAGTTGCTTACCTTCTCCTAAAATAGACCGATTGACAGAAGCAGCAGAAAGAAAAATCACAAGTTATCAAAAAAAGAATTTTTTATTTTTTATTTAATAATAAATGAAAAATGAATATTTCACATATACAAACGAACAAACAAATAAAACAATATATATATATATATATTAAAGCAATTTGTTTATTATCTTCTTTACTAAAATTCACTAAAGCTTTTTGCAACTCCACCACCAAGTTCCACTTATTCATCTTGTCCGCCTTCAACTCTTCTTTTTCTTTTAACAACCTATCTCTTCTCTCTTCCAAGTTCTTCTTTTGTTTTCCACTCAAGTTCCCCTTCATTAATTCATCTTCCAATTCACTTGACTTCTTTTCCCATTTCGCCGACTTCTCCCACTGCCTTCTCGTAATCTTCTCTTGTCTTGCTTAATTCCTGTTTAATGTCTTCTTCGTATGTTGCCATTTTTTTAAAAAATTAAAAAAAGATTTTAAAATTAATTTTTTTAAAAAAAAACATTTTTTTTATTGAGTTAGATTGTAATTGTTGTAATGATAAATTAGTATTAGTGGGTGTAATTTTTTTTTCCTCATTCATTGAAAAATGTTAAAAGCAAAGCGATTTTTCTTGGAACGTGATCTGCATTATTTTTGTCTAAAAATAAAAATGGCCGAAATTCTATTTTTAGTAATAACAATCAATAGTTTCTTCATTGATCCCTGAAATTCTTGGTAAAACTGTGACTGTGTCTGGTTTTGTTACAAATAATAAATAATGTCGTGTAACGCACAGTACGAAGGTAAGTCAAGTGTCCACGTAAAATTAACCTCCTTGCACAAAAAAAAAATAATAACAACTTTAGAATTCTTTTTGACACAATCAAAGTCACAATCAACAAGAAAAATACTCGAATTATTATCTCTAATAGGAAGATAAAAGATAAAATTAAAGATAAAATTAAAAAGGATCAACCAAAATATTTATGGAAAAGATGTAATGTTTGTTACAAATTGTTTATTAAAAAATTAATAATTATTTCGGCAAAAAATAAATTTATCAGTTGAAAATGGTTTTGATTAATTGATTCAAGTCATGTAACACACTTATATTGGATGTTAGGTGCATGCGATCAGACGTTATGAGTAAATTAATTAATTAATTTATTCATAGAGTTAATTAACAATGCACACATAATATTTATGTCACACGCTCCATTTATCGCAAAGTATAACTCAATCTTGAATTATTAATAGATTTCTTTTTCTCCTCTATAAATTGAATTATAAAATTTTTCTTTATTATTTGATAGTTGGGATGTAATTTTTCCCATTTTCCTCTGTCCATCACCATTATTTTCTACATTTGCATCGACTAGGAAAAGAAAATTTACTGCACGACCCTATCATTCACCCATTCATTCTGTTTATATAGTCCTTTCTCAACAAATCATCCATCAATTCATTCATTCATTTAACCACCAGCAATAATAAATATATATATCCCTTTTTAACGCATATATAAAAAAATTTATTTTCTTTTTTCACCTTTTTCACCTTCCTTTTTTCCTTCCTCTTTTTTTTTATTTTCTTCCCTCTAATTATCATTATTCAATTAATTTTTCACGGTGACTGGCTCACATAATACAAAACATACACATACACGCACACACATATATACAAATACAAAATTTAAAATATGGGAAAGCTATTGTGGAGCCAATGGGGGAGATTAATCGCTCTTACTGCAGGAGTTTGTAAGTGTGAGACTTTTTAAAATAATTTTGAAAAAAAAGTAAAGAATATATTTTTATATCATATTTTATTATTATTATTATTTTTTAAAAAAAAGTTGAAATTGTAGGAGGTGTTTTTGGAATTTTTTATCGATTGTCAACGTTCGAACAGTTCACTGGGTAAGTTATTAAACAAATAAATTTTATATAATAAAAGACTCGTTATATTATTTTATTATAATAATAATAAGTTAATTTTATATTTTTGTTTTGACAGGATTTTTAATCCATTAATTCTTAAATTCAATTATCTTGCAATATCTTGCATGTAGGTAAAAAAAACAACAAGATCTTTTTCATTATCTCAATTATAGTTTTGCTAATTTCCATTATTTTTATTTTTTATTTTTTAATAGTATGAATGGTTTAATAGTGCTAGTTCTAGAATACCCGTTGCCTCTAATAAGAAATACATCGATGGCAAAAAACTACCTTTTGAAAATATTCCTTTATTTTTTGATGGGTGTTTCTTCAACCATAAATTACCAAAATGTCAATCCTGGTTTCTATTTGATGCTTGCGAGTTTAATGTATGCAAAAGCTCTGGATAATGATGAAGATGAAATAAATGAAAATTATATAGAGAGCCGATACTAAAAATGCCAATTATAATTATAATTATAATTATATATTAATTTATTTTCTTTTAATAATAATAATAATAATAATTTAATAATAATTAATTTTAATAATTTAATAATAATTTAATAACAACAATAAGGATCAATTTAATAACTAAGTAATTAATCGTTCGTTACTACGCCACTATGTTTTCTTTCGTGTGGTATCGAACAAAAATTATCATATATATATATTTGTACTTTTTCTCTCATTGTATTTGAAGGTTGGTGAAATAGGTATACATATATTGATATATTTAATTATAAAAAAGAAAATTTATCTAAAAAAATTGCATCAAAACAAGCGTATATAAATGCGTGTGCGTGTCTTCAAATTATTTATATTGTACACATTAAAAAAGTTAATGGATTAAAACGTTGTCCAAGCCATTGCTCATCTAATATACGATAAATCAAATTATTTGCGTGTTTTGGCTTGGAAAATAATGGCAAAGATGGTAGGTAATTGATCAATTAATAAATGTATTTTTGGTGTTATTTTTTTTTCAAAATAACAAAAAAAAAGATTTAGTTACACCAAGGCACCTTTCACATTCTAGGAACATTTAATATTAAAATCTTGTGATAGTTGTTATATTTGGTAAGTAGTTATTTGTTGTCAATTAAAAATTAAAAAATAGGCTTTACTATTTATCCTTGAAAAGAGGTAATAATTATATAAATAATTATATTATATTTTTGTATTAAAAAATACAAAGTTTCCGATTGTTTATATTCCATCTGCTTGGAATGTATCAATCAAATAATATAACTAACTAATGATATTGTTATCAGTTTCACCCCATTAGAATTAACCAACAGCAGCATTAAAACTTGCTGGGCTTTAATTTTACGTACATTGTTTTAATTAAAATTAAATAACGATTGTTACGTTATTATTACAATTTTAGAAATGGATAAAAAATATCACTCAAGTCATGCAAAATATCCTGGGTCAAGCCAATTTGTAGAAATAAGTGATATTCTTGTTATTAAAGATTCTAAATTGCAACAAATAATATTTCTTGGAACTTTGGATGAAATGTGTGTATATATTTACTAATAGATTTAAAACTTTACAACACCCGTTTATTATTTGTTATACATAAATTTGAATGGAATCTATTAACATAATCAATATTTTTTATTCCCATTCCTTCTAATCTCTCTTTCCCTCACTTCTTCCCCATCAAAAATTTTAATTAACAATATTTATCACACATGGATTTTAAATTCACAGCTGACTTCTTTAATTTAGCTTTTTCCTGATCGCTCAACTTAACTTCAATAATTCTCTCGATTCCATTACTACCTAAAACAGCCGGCATGCTCAAAACACACCCGTACTCTTCAGAATAAACACTTAATGGTCTGATTTGACGTTGATTCAATGTAATAGATTGTACAAGCATTGAAACACAACCAGCTATACCAAAATATGTTGCGCCTTTTAAATTAATGATTTCATATGCTTTATTAGCAATCTCCTTTTCAATTTGTTCTCTCTCTTCATCTTTTAGATTCTTAATCTCCTGATAATCTAGTAATGGTTTACCGCCAACGTGTGCTGATGTCCATGCGATGATTTGTGAATCACCATGTTCACCCAACACATAACAATGAATTGCTGTTTCTGATACCTTTATTAAAAATTTCAAAAAGATATTAATTATTTAATTATCATTTAAATAAACAACGACAATTATTAATTATTATTATGGTTATAATAATGGATTGTTTGGTTTACCTTGAGTAAAGATGATAATTTTAATCTTAATCTTGCAGAATCTAAAAATGTACCAGATCCAAAAACTTGATGTTTTGGTAATCCAGAAATTTTTTGAGCGATAGAAGTTAAAACATCAACCTATGATTATTACATCCACATCATGATCAAAAGAATTGGACATTATTATCCAATATATGATAATTATAATTAAATAAATGCATATAATAATATCATCACTTACCGGGTTGGCGACTAACAATAAAAGAGATTTTGGATTGATTGGTTTCATCGAATTAATTACATTATCCATAATTTTATAATTTCTCTCGATTAACTGCATGTAGATTATGATACATATACATTTATTAGTTGGTAATGTTTTTATGTTCTCATTCAAATTCCAACAAAATAAAATAAAATAATACCTGAACTCTTGTTTCATTAGGTTTTTGTTTAGCACCAGCGGTAATAATTATAATATCACATTGACCGGCTTCTTGATAAGTTCCACCACGTACTTGAGTTGAGGAAATAAAATTTGCATCAGATAAATCAAGCACTTGTCCTTTGACTGTGTCTTCTACAACATCAACCAATAAAATTTCTGAACTTATTTTTTGTATTAATAAAGCAAAAGCAATTGTTGCTCCAACTGAACCAGCACCTATGATTGCTACTCTTGAGTTATTAACCATTTTATGTTGATTTTAATTTTTTTATGAAAAATTGAGGGAAATTTATATTGAAAAAAATATATTTATACCATTACTAGTAAATCGATAGTTTCATATGAAAGTGTTTGATGGTAAAGATGACTTAATGTTATTTTAGTATTAGTATTAGTATTAGTAATTAGATTAGGCTAATACATTTAAAAAATCGTACGATTATTTTTTTTTCTCACACATTTAATATATTAATCTTAATATTAATATTAATTAGTATGGCGTGAGCATATTGTCTCACAGGGGATTAATTACAAGGGTCAAATAATTAGATCACCATTCATTGCATGTTTGTATAGCCATAACTCTTGTTAATGTTTTTTTACATTTATAAAACAAATCCAAAATTAATAGAATGATGAGTCATGAATTTATTTATAATCATCACTGCCGCTGTTATACAACAATCTTTTATTTTTAATCTATTTATTGCGTTGTAAACTTCTTTCGACAAATCACCCAATCTTATTAATTTATATTCGTTGATCTTTATAATTATGAGTAAGTAAGATAATATGAAGAAATAACTTTGATAACTGAAAAATCATTAAAACAGGGAATGTTCTCAGAATTATGAAAATATCATAAAACCTACCAAATTACGAGCCTCCAACTACCAACTAGACAGTTCTTTTCGATAAACTGGAAGAACGTCAAGAAACCGGTAGGAGGTGATACAGTAGCTGTAAAACTCCTATCAGCAGATAGCCACATTAATGTTGGGTGAATGATAAAACCACCATAACTTGCTTCAGAAGCATTTCCACTTGACATTACTGAATTCGGAGGAAATACAAACCAACCCATGTTAAAAGCAATTTCAGGGATGGACTATCGTGGAAAAGAAAAGAAGAGATGATTGTGATGGGGTAGCGATATTGATATTGTAAAAAAAGATTTAGATTTCCACCAGGAGTGCGCATGCGTCTACGAACCATCTAAATAGAAGTAGCAAGCAGTAGATGCAAAGATAAAAAAAAATGAAAAGAAGAAGTTAGCAAATGCTAACATTAAGAAGTTTAGGAACCGAGACATATTCATGTCATTTTGTTCTATATTTAATCATCCCATAAGGCATTTAATCCTTCAGTCCTTACAACCCAGCTCGTGAATATTTAGCTAAACACATTCTAAGCCGTATTCACTTCGAAGGGTGTTTAAAACCCAAAAGGACTGCCCAAAGGAAAATATAAATATAAATAGAATGGAAAATCAGCATCCAACAAGAAAAATAACCAGAAACTTGCCTTTTAAAAGTAGCGATTAAATCAATCACAAAGACAGTGGTGGATCAGTGATTTTGATGAAAGCATTTTTCATAATAATAGCACGTGATGATTTACCATATATAGACGTGATTTTCTGTGTATTTGAAAGACCTTTTGCCTAATTATGTTACTCTTAAAAATTGTTCTCAAAAAATTTTGCAACTCAAAAATAGATCCAATGAATTAATTAGCTAGTAAAGAGCTTCTAACATGTCTATTTTTGGTTTAAACTTGGACGGCTTTTGAAATGGCACGTGTCCTAAAATAGCAAGGTTATCGAGCCTTAGTATTAGAGAAAGCTTTATCACCAGTTTTTGATGCTCCGAATTATTTAATATATAAAAAAAAATGGGTTCGTCAAAAGTTATCCTTATTGCTGCTACTTCTTCTACCTACGAAACTAAAAATTGTCTGACAATTTGCTCTCTCGTTTAGATTGGCTTAATGCAGATGCTGCAACCAAATAATCTTTTCTTAGATAAATATCACTATTAGCGGTACCTTCGCTTTTGCTTATTTTGGTTTTGCTACTAATTCCGAAAAAAAAAAAAGTAAGCATGGAAATGTAATTGCAAAGTAGTATTATTGGGTGATATTGCAATAGTGATGTTAAACAATTTTGGTCCCTAAAATTTCTTTGTGACATAATATAATTGTAAAATCTTTTGTATGGCCACTTCGAGTTTTTTTTTTATCTAATCATTTCAATACTCTCCCAAATGTTAGATTCAAAAACTCTTCGCTTGACTTTTTTACGAAGCGGCGGTGTCTTTTAAAAGATTTTGTCGGGGGTGCTCTACGTTGTAAATCTCACGCGAGCAAATGCTTTTAATGTGATTACTATTGTCATTATTGTTTTTCCTTTCCCCACTATTGTTGTCAACGTAATTGATTCTTGAATAACAATTATTTAGCGCATTTTGTATTTTTTATTTTTCATGTCCTAAAAAAGGGTTTCCAAGGTAAAAATCGCGTTTGTTAGCGAAAATAAAAACAAAGATCTTTCACATTTCATTCGGTGAAAGATCTTTTGAGAAGGAATCGTCTTCTTGCAAACTTTTGGGTTGTTTACGGCAGACATTTTTAATATTAATATCATTTTGAAGTGATGATTGTCGATCATAAATCATCAAATTTCATCATGTCTATTAAAAAACCTTCTTTTGAAATAATTCGTCAATTAATACCACCACTTTCCCATGAATTCCACAAAGGTCAAGCTGGTATGGTAAATTTATTATTTTTATTATTATTAATTATTATTACTATTATTATTTACATTTATTTTTTCTTTTAAAATAAAGGAAGAATTTGTATTGTGGGTGGTTCAGAAGAGTAAATGTTTGTTTTTGTTTTAATATTATAAAAATTCACTCTTTAAATAATTTATTAATTGAAATCATTACCATTTACTATTATTGCTATTATTATTATTATTATTATTATTACTACTACTACTATTATTATTATAGTTATACTGGCGCACCTTATTTTAGTGCTTATTCTGCTTTAAAACTTGTAAGTATGATACATATATACATATGTATATAGGGACAAACCATTCTTAAGTAAATGAATTATTTAAAAGCAGTAAATTATTCACATTTTTATGCATGCCATTAATTACCACTCCACTTTTCAATTTCTATTTGTTATAGGGTGCTGATTTGAGTCATGTTTTGTGTCATCCATCAGCTTCGACAGCAATAAAGGTAAAGAAAGATGATTAGGGTGGGTTTCTTGAAGAAATATTATTTTATAATGTACCATTATTATTATGAATATAATCTCTGATCAATATAATTGATTAATTAATTAATTACATTTAGAGCTATTCTCCAGGTAAATTATACAATCTTCAAATATAAGAAAAGAAAAAAAAAATATAAATTTATATGTATATTTATTTACTATTTATTATTTAGATTTGATGGTTTTTCCTTATATGCGATCATCTGATGATATTAGTGATGATGATAATTCAAAACTTAAAGAAAATGTCATGGAAAAAATAAATTCACTTTCATTATCAAGATTTCATGTTATAGTTGTTGGACCTGGATTATCAAGAGATAAAATAATGTTTGAATGTGCCAAAAGTGTTATTTTGAAAGCCAAGAAAGATAATTTACCAATCGTTATTGATGCGGTTTGTAATTATATATATATATATATATATTAATAATGTTATCTAACAACATTTACAAAAGGGAGAATAGCTTTTTTGAAATTTTGATTCTTTTATATATTTACACAATTCTAAATTATATTTATTTATAGGATGCATTAATGTTGGTTCAGAGTCAACCAGAACTTATTAAAAATTATTCTCGGGCAGTTTTGACACCGAATGTTAATGAATTTAAAAGATTTTGTGAAAAAATGGTGAAGTCACGTTCATATTATTATTTGATTTTGTTATAATATTAGATATATATATATTTATTTATTAATCAATTAAACTTAAATTTAGGATATCGGTATAAGCGATGATAAAGAATATGCAATTAAGAAATTAAGTTTGGCTTTGGGAGGTGTTACTATCATACAAAAAGGGCATAATGATTTGATTTCTAATGGCGATAAAGGTAATTGGCCAATAAATTAATCAATTAATCAATTGATACATTCACTCGCACATATATTAACGGCTTGATATATAGTTTTCGTGGTTGATAATGATGGTGGACTTAAAAGATGCGGAGGTCAAGGTGACATCTTATCTGGTTTAGTTGGCACATTTTTATCATGGGGTGCATCATACAAAAACAAATTATGGGAGTAAGTATAAAAAATATTGAAATTATTGATTTTATTTATTAATTTAATGTCTATTTATCATGATATTTTTATATTATTTTTTAATTAACATTAATCTCTATTTTTTTTTTAATAAAAAAGACATGACGATTCAATATTATTATCTGACATACCATTATTAGCAAGCTATGCGAGCTGTTCAATTGTAAGAGAATGTTCAAAGATAGCTTTTGAAAAATTTGGAAGGTCAACTCAAACTTCTGATTTTCTTGAAGAAATTGGTCCTGTTTTCAAGAAATTTTTCGTCAAGTAAAATAACAAATAACAATACAACAACAATAATATTCTATAATCCCATATGCTTGCTAAAAATCACTACATGAAATTTTTTATAATTTACATATATTCACAAACATTCAATATTTCTATTTCTTATAAATAACAAATAATCTAATTATTATAAATAAATTTTTTTCTTCATTTTTCTTTACGCTTATCATATTCTTTAACTTTTTTCCAAAGTTTTATTCTATCAACCATTTCTTCTTCAATTTCAAATCTCAAAAATTGTTGTACACTCCATCTCTCGACAACTTTTTTGATTGATCCGACCAAATCACCGACATCTTCATCACTTTCTTCAAGTTTCAACGCTCCTCCTAGAATTATAGCACGCTTATAAACCATTTCTTGTTCATAAATATCTACTATACTATTTATATAATAATGTGATAAAGATAATGATATGTCTGCTACATCATTAACATCATTATCATTATTATTACTCATTGGATTTAAATTGTTTGATTTTGGTTTTGATTTTTTGGTGGAAATTGGTTTCTTGTTTTGATTTGATTTTTGTGATTTCTTTTGTTTCTTAGCTGATGACGATGATGATGACGATGATGATGACGGTGTAACATTCTTACCTAATAACTTATTGTTATCATCATCATCATCATCATCTTTATCTTTACCACCACTAATTGATACAAATAATTTTGCTCCCTCACTACTACTACCATAAAATAAACTTGAAAAAATCTTTTCTATTTGTAATTGTATTGTTTGCATAGATTTTAATATTTCTTCGAATTCATTATTAAGAATATGATGAAGTTTACAAAGTAAATTTTCTATTTCACAAGATTGTTTATAAATAATTGAAGTCAAGATTTCATGCTGAAATATCATTGAATCCGTGACATTACTACTGTTGCTGTTACTGCTACTGTTGTTGTCGTTATTAAGAATCTTGATATTTTTTTTTGGTGGTGGTAAGGAATAATTATTGGATTTTTTTAGTTGATCAAGTGTTTCTTGACGTTGAGCTAGAATATTTACTAACGATGAAAATAGCATACATGATCTTTTATGACTTGATGACCAATCTTTACATAATTCGTCAATTCTTACCAATAAATTTATATGTTGTGGGGTCGCCATTTCTCTTGGAAAAAGGAATAAATGAAAAATAATGAAATTATCTATCATCAATTGCGTTTCACAAGAAATTTCCAAAGATTATTTTAATATTATAATAAATTAATAACAAATCATTGCTATAGTATTTATCATCATCTTTATCATCACGTAAAAAAAAAAGCGAATGAATGTCCTTCTTTGCGTACTGAAACAATCAAATCAAATCTTCTTCTTTTTTGACCATACATTAAACTTTTATGTTGAAGAATATTACCACGACGAGGATCACGCTGAATAATTCTTCAATAACAATATCGACAATGATAAAGAAAAATCATTCAGCATGATCTTCATAGTGGTAATATTCTTCAAAATAAAAATTTGATGTATTATTACTATAATCTACATGTAATGTTTTTAATGATTTTTGTCAAAGTAGTTATTATGTATAAGTAAATTTTGATCGTTGATTGTTTGTTCATGTCGTATTAACATATTAAAACTATGGATTGATCGACAAAACACTTCTGACGACGAGGTGTATAATTGTTAGTTTAGCTACAAATGCGCCCTCCAGAAAAAAATCATTTTCTATATAAAATACATACATGTTGGACATTCACGATACCTTTTCTTTCCTTTTTTTTTATTTGGATTATATTTTTTAATAATAAAGTAATTGCGAATAAAAATTTTAAGGAAAGATTTCATGGTCGATATTTATATTAATATCTTTTCTCTTTGATCATCTAAATCCATTTGTTGAGTAATTATTTAATTTATTTTGATGTTAATAATTGTTATAGTATTGTTTTTTCATGACGCGTTTCTCTTGAACAGGATTAGAGTAACACTTTTCCCCTGTTAATTATTATTAATATAGAATTTTAAAATTAATTTCAAAAATAAATAACAATAAAGGAAGATGAATTTGATGGACAATTACAAAAAATTCGTATTATTCTTTTTCAAAAAAAAATTTTTTTTTCTAATATTTTAAAGTTAAAAATGTCCTTTCAAAAATTAATAATACCGACCAGAAAAGAATGATTTACAACGAAATGTATAATAATAAATAAGGTTTTATCAATTATATCTGGTCGAGAAAATCAAATGCATTTTTTTTTTTACAATTAAATCAATAACAATAAGGAAACTTTTAGAAAATGAAAAACGAATATTCCAGAGAAAAATTTATTTGTGATTGTGAATTAGAGAATGCAATTTATAAAATTGTGTAAGCCAAGAGAATGCAAAGAATCGCAAATCAACAATATACTCACCCTAATAGATTGTTAGTCTACTACACTTGCAGAATTTTTTCAATGCTTGGACATTTAGAAATGATACGGTTGATAATTTTATTTAACAATGTCAAATGCTTTCATCTTTAGCAACTCAAATTATAGAATGTATACATACCTTTTCAGCAATTTGATGATGTAGAAAAGCTAATAAAAGTAGTAGAGATTCAGTATAATTTAAATTGCCACGCATGGGGAAAAGGAAGAATACGCGACTATAATGAAGAGAAAAAAGAATTTCTTGATTATGAAGCTCAAAATGTAATCTTGAAAACCTTTAAATAATTCAAACGTTTTTTTATATGGTTTGTAGCTTTTATTTAAAGCGAAAATAAATTATATAGTATCGTATTATTAATTGATTTTATTTCTCAGGCAATGAATTACGCAGTGTTCCTTAATTAACTTTCAGAAGATATTACAATATTTAAAGGTTACGTGAATCATGATTTGGACCAGATGATGAAAAATCATCAGATAAAAATCTACAGAATTATATATATTAATATGTTGCACTGAGCCGCTTGAAGGCAAAATTAACAAACGAACTAATATTTATAGTGTTGGGATGTTAATGTGGGAAATATCCGCCATTTGATAATAAAACTCATAATCATTGTTTAATTTTGGATATTGGATGATTTAAAACTTCTTGACACCTGAATTTCAACTTTTTGGAGAATTTTTGAAAAACTTTCAAGTATAATTCTACTTTATTGCAAAAGTAGGATTTTTTAGAATTGTATGCAAGAGCAAACCTATGTGCAATACAATGAGTCACAACCAGATGCTTGTTTCTTGAGATAATCTGGTAGCCACTCTGATTTATTTCTCATCATAACCGAGGCTCCATCTGATGCTAATGAAAATATCTTATCAACAAGACCTAATTTTAGCAGCCGATGAAATCGATAGTCATCTTCATTTATGGTTTGTCCTTTTGTTGAATATTGGTATTTCCTAAAAAAACAAAAAATATGATGTCGCATTGGGGTGTTACAAATTTCAGTAAACACAAACATAGTTGACCACACATATAAAAAGTCATATATACGGATTTTTCGCCGATCAATATATGTAAAAAATTTTAATATAAAAATTCAAACTCTATCTCCTTCAGATTTGTAAAGTATACCACTATTCAAAATTGGTATATGAATATTTCATAACACATACTTCAAAACAACGGTTTTGATTTTTTGATTTTTTGTTTAAAAAAAAGTTGTATGTTCAAAAAAAAAATTTAAACAAGAATTAAGGAAAATTTTTATAAATTTTTTAAAATTCTACAACCGTTAAATGAAAGAGCA